GTTTTGATGGGGGGGGGGGGGGCATGCTCGCGCCGTCGGAGCGCCTTCGCAGTTCCTGCGCAACCGAGTCTCCAGGGCCATGTGTAGGCCGATCCACTGTACTATCATTAAGACATGGCCGCTACTCTGAACACCCCCAGGGCCATAACTCCTGACATCACTCCAGGACCTCAGCCTTGGACTTCTCCGAACACCTCATCCCAGAGACCTGGGTTCCTGTCCTGGAGCCAGAGACAACGTTGTATCTGAGGGCGGCGACCCTGGGCTTCATCCCATGGCACGGCACCTGGGCATGGTGTCAGCCCTGAGCCTGTAGCTTGAAGCCTTCAGCTTGAGGCCCCGTGCACGAAGCCTTCAGACCTGGCCCCTTCGTCCCTTGCGTGAGGATTCCAACCTTAGGGCCGCAGCGCCATGCCGCCAGCGGTAGACAATTGGCCCTGGCATGTCTGCCTTCATCATAGAGCTTTGAGGCCTGGGCACTGGGCCCTCAGACATAGGCATTGGGCCATAATCCCAAAGTCCTGACCCATAAGGTCTCAACCCTGGGCCCAGTGCCCGATGCCCGATATGCGAAGCCTGAAGCCATCGCGTTTGAGAGCAAGTGCCCGAAACCATAGCCACTGAGCCAAAATCCTGCAGCCTTTGGCAACAGGTCTTCCACTTTAGGCGCTGAGCCCAGGTCCTTGGGCATCGGGCCTTCAGCCCGAAGGTGCTATTCCTTAGCCGCGCCGCCAAGCCGCTGGGCCGTGGGCGCGCAGCTCGGGGGGCCCTCGGCCCCGCGCCTCCGACTCCAAGCCTTCGGCCCTGAAACCGAAGCCCCGAGCTTTCTGCCCTTTGGCGCTACCTCGGAAACAGGCCATGAGCCCAAAGCCTCACGCCCTCAACCTCAAGCCTGGAACCCTGACCTTTAACCGCGGGGTCTTCAGCCAGAAGCTCCAAACCTGGAGCCTCTGGCCCTGGGCCTTAATTCCAGATGCTTACGGTTGGGTTGAGTAGTTCGCATGGTTCAGGCGAGTCGGATGCTTCGGACAGAACCTGTGGCTTTGGCTAATCTGTTGCCCTGAGCAGCAGATGAGGTAAAACTTTGACGTGCGCTTTGGTTCAGGAGCCAGAACGGCTTCGTCGTGCTAAGTTTCTGTTGGGTGTGTTGCGTATATCAGGTATTGTAGAGAGGAAGTATTTGGCGTATCCATTACTACGTGTATATGTATGTATATGTATGTATATATATATATATATATATGTAGGCGTTGTTGCATGATTGACGGCTTAGGTTGATGGCACGCCACGTCTGCGGACAGGGTCTGGGGTCGCGCGACGACGGTAATGGACAGGGCCCACGTGGCACCGATAACCAGATGCGGTGGCAATGGTAGGACGTCAGATGTGGTGCGGTCCAGCAATCCTGTTGTGCACCTCCCCCCCTTTCTCCCCCTTCCTTCCCCACTTGATATTTTTTGGTTTGAGTGCAGGGCGGCGGCGGCCGCTCGTCGCGATGCAGGGTCGGCCTCCCATGCAGGGCCCTTGGCCCCTTGGCGGTGCCCGTGCAAGGCCCTCGGGCGACCGTATTTCTGTCGGAACAGAATTTTTCAACAACAAAAAAACACCCGCCGAAGTTTTGAGTTTGAGCGTGCGCGGCGCACCCGAGGCCGGGGCGCCGCCCATGATGGGCCCGCATGGGGAGCTCCCGCGCCCCCAGAGGATGGTGCCGCCGCGGCCGCCCCCGAGGGTGGTGCTTCCGTCTGCTTGTCCGTTGTCCGCATGCCCCAGGGCCTCAGGGCCGAAGTTGCCGTTCCAGGCGAGGCCGCCAGGGCCGCGGCCGCCGTCCACGCCTCCGCCGTCTATCGCGGCCCAGAGCGCAAAGGCAATGTCGCCGATCACGCCCCCGCCGCCCGCGCCGACTATGGCGCGGGCCGCGGGGGCAGCGCCGGAGGGGGAGCCCTCGGCAAAACGCCTGCGGGGCAAGCCCCAGCCCTCTGGCGCGGCGGCAGCGCCCAGCTCGGGCACCACGTCTGGGGGCGCGCCTGCGACGGACGATGATGCCGCGCAGGCCGCCTGTCCCCCTGTCTACGGTCGTGGGCACCAAATGTGGGAGGATGCGCTCAATTTCGCGTTCCACGCATGGGTGGACTCGCGTCGGGCGTGGATCAACTTCGAGGCTGCGATGCGGGCCGCGGGGCGGATGCAGTTGCTGGGGGAGGCATCTGCTTCGTACTGCCTCTTCTGGCAGGGTTGGATCGACCAGGCTCTGGGGCGGCATGCCGCGCTGAAATGGGGGCCGCCTGGCCTGCGACGGTCGCGGGCCCGCGGGCCCGTGGCCATAGTGGACGCGATTATTGTTTTTTGTTGCGACGCCGCCCTGTAGGCGGAGCAGGAGCTAGAACAGGTGCGCACCGATGCCCTGGCCAGCTACGCGGCCGCCGCCGCCGACACTACCGAAATGGGTGCCTGAGGAGCGCCCGCGGTAGAACCCTGGAGGAGGGGAAGGAGGACAGCAGGCGGAGGATGGCCGTATCACTCTCATCACCACTGACATCACCATCGCCATCATCACCACCATCATCATCGTCATCATCAACAACACCGCCAGTTTCGCCAAGCTCGTCATCACCCCCTCCGCCATCAACATCGCCGTCAACGTCTCGGTCAGAGGCGCCACGACCACCGTCATTATCACCAGCATCACCATCATCGCCATTACCGCTCCAGACCCAGTCGCAGTGATGTCGAGGTAATGCTGCGCGGGCCATGGCACGTGTTGTCCATGTTGCGATTCGCTTGTTTTGGTCCCAGATGCGTTATGTTGCTTCATGGGTATGCCACGTGCGCCGCTCTGGCTGCGGGTGGATCTGAAAGGGATGTGCCTTTGGGTTCGCCGTGCTTCCAGGGTTGAAGTTGCTCGATTGTTCAGGTGGGGGGCAAGGCCGTGGGCTCTTGGCCGTGCTCAGGCCTGAGGGCTTCGATCCCATGTAAGATGCATTGTTTTCTTCGCCTCGTCTGCCAGACCCCCGCCCTCCTCGCTCCGTCGCCCTCGACCCCTCCGTAGCCGCGTTGACTCGAGCCGACCGCTGGTCCATATTTCGTTTCGTTCCGCGCCTGAGTGCGGAATCCACGGATGAGTTCGCTTCCATTCGAGCCGCCCCCTGAAACTGGGAACTCGGGCTTCGGGCCACCTGGGCAGAGGAGCGCGTCGGAGAGGCGGCACGCACCCCCCGAGTTGCCGCAGGATGGACCGTCAGAGTATTCGGCCCGCCCCCTGCCCATCGTCGTGGAGGTGGAGGATTCGATCCCAGTGCCCCAAGCCGATAACGAAACTCCAGTCGTGCCCCCGCCATCGGCCTCGCCCGCGCCCCAGCAGGCGCTGCCAGGTACGCCACCAATGCCGCCGCCCGACTACGATAGCCACAGCGCACCAGCAGAAGAGGCAAAGGAGGCAGCTGCACCAACCGCACCAGCAGCTGCATCGGCCGCAACATCGAACCCGCGTCGCAGGAGGGTCTTCGAGCAGACGTTCCAGCACGATTCCATGGAGGCCATGCCGAGGATCATCGCGTCCGATGCGTTCCATACGATGGTGACGCAGATCTCGCAGCCGCTAGGAGAGGGCTACCCATCGACGAACTTCTTGAATCGGAAGCGCAGGTTTTCCGTCACATTCAAAGTGGAAGAGTCTTGGGACCCCGAAGAGAGCGAGAGTGATTAGGCATCCCATCTGTCCTGAGGCGATAGCGATTAGGCCTCACAGTCAAAGTGGAACAGATGTGGAACTCCGAAGTGAGCGAGAGCGATAGTGATTAGGCATGACAGTGACGACGCCACCCTGTGGAGTCATGAGTCGCATATGCGTGACGTATGTGTTGTGAAACCTTGACTGTGAATGCATGCGGTCTCGCATATTGATTGCTTTGTGCGTATCCGCGCTACTGCCCTAGAGCTTGCGCGCGCCCTGGGCGCATTGCCACATTCGTTCGCGTTTTCTTGAGGTGTGCATCGTAGAGCGCACCCGTTATATCCAGATATATGTGTCGGATATCCGCTCGACTGTTTCGTTGGGCAGCTCGCCACGTGGAACCATCATCACTCGTCTCCAAGAGAAGCCCGCCCAAGGGCGCCAGCTGTAAGCATCAGTAGCTATCAATAACAGCCATCAGTAACCATCAGTAACCATCAGCATCATACCGCCATACCATATAGTTCGGCACAGGGGGGTGCACATCAACCGAGGCCGGCGCGAGGCGTCAAGGCTCTGCAACACCCAGGGGAACCCAACGCGTGATAAGGAGGATGGGCGTGGGGAGAGGCCGATGCCGAAACGAGTTTCCCACGTAGGAGCGCGAGATTGTGTGGCCTCCCCGAAGACGTGCTTCATAGGCTGTTCGCAATCGCCGCCCCATGGTAAGTTTGAGGCAGTGACCCTGTTTATGTGAAACCAGCGGGTGGTGGGAGGGTCGGCCCGTCGCGGCCCTTCGTGCAATTTCAGGGCCGTGCGGGCCCTTCCCGAACGGGTGCCCGCCCCAGGTTCAGGGTTGCCCTTGGCATCGGAACCCCGACCGAATCGATGCGGAGCCCCCTTCCGCCCGTGGATAGCCGCGTGGCGCAAACCCACCGGCCGCCTTTGCTGGCGAGTCTGGTTTTGGCTAGGCGGCCGCCATTGGTTGGCTCACCGCTGCGTTTCCCCAGCCCCCCCTCATGCCACCCGCCCCCAGCCCCCAATACCGCCCAGAGCGGCCTCGCTCGTGTCCCTTTCCGTCGTCGTCACTCCATATTTCCCTGCCCTGATTCCCAACCCCTCTTCCTTCTCCCTTGTCCCCCTCCTCCCCCCTCCAGGCTCCCTCCGCCGTCCTCCGTCCTCCATCCTCCCTGCCCCCTCCTCCCTCTCCCCTTTCCCTTCCCACCTCTGCGCGTCGCCCTCTTCCGTTTTTTTTCACGTTCTCCCCAGCGGGGCCTTGCGGTAGACCCACCAGTCCCCTCCTGAGTATTTGGCGGGCATTTTGCTCGCGATGGCCGAGAAGAGCGACACCCGCAAGCGGATCCCAGCCAAGGCCTCGGGGTCGAGCTCGAAGAAGTGCAAGTCGTCCGCCAAGGGCGCCGACGAGGAGGAGGCCTTCAAGGTCGAGTGGGAGCCCGTTCGCGAGAGGAAGTCGAGGGCTTCTACGCGGAAGTGCGGCCTGTGCAGGTCCACCAATAAGGGCACTTGCGGATTGAACACACTGGGTGTACCCGAGCCCCCATCCCCAGTAGTTTGCATGGGGCGTTGTTTAGACAGCGGCAGTGCTTTGAAAGCTGCGGATGCCCCCCTGGGCCCCGTGGCGGCCTCTAGCTAGCCCCCCCCCCTCCCCCGCCATCAGAATGTTGGGGCGTGGATGCTAGGAGGGTTCGGTCACCAGTTCCTATCTCGTCGCCCGCAGCTTCGGGGGTGGGCGGGGCCAGCAGGAGCACGAGCACCAGTTCGGCGTCGTCTCCCCCGCGGCCGACTCCGCCAAGGATCCAGTCGAGGCCCTGTGGATGCGCAAGCGCTGCTATGACTGGGTGCAGGAGGAGGTGCCCGACTGCGACGTGCGGGAGGTCGTGGATGAGCTGAATTCAGACGAGGCGAAGCGCAATGACGTGATGCGCTCGCTGGGCTTCGACGTGCCCGATGGCGACGGGGCCGAGGCTATGTGCGACGCGGTCGGCATGCCGCTGGAACTCTCGTCGGGCGAGGAGGTCGGGTACCCCATCGAGGAGTCGTTCGAGCTCTTGACCCGCACCGAGTTCCAGACCCTGGCCAACAAGAGCCCCGAGGCGGCGAAGGCGAAGGTGATCAAGAGGCGCCCCCCGACGGACGGGAAACTGGAGCTGCGATTCGCCTTTCCATTGCCTGGGCGCCCTCGGCCACGTCTGACGGTATTCTCGAAGGTTTCGGCGACGGCCTCGGTTAAGAAGACTCAGGCGGGCATGATCGAGAAGTTTAGGGGCCATTGTTCGATCGCTTTCAAGAGCGTCGCGAAGAAGGTGATTGGCCCCACTGGCGCGGGGTCGCTGTCCCGCTTCTTGACGACCTTGGACGAGCACATCGGCAAGCAGGAGGCCCCGACTAAGCCAGCTAAGCAGTCCGACCCCTCAGGGCCAGGGCAGGCGGATGCCACCGCCGACGACGAGCTCAGCAGGGCCGTCGGTGGGCGCTTGGCCATCAAGGACGGGGTCATGACCGACGAGAGCGCCGCGGCCGATGGTCTGGGAGACAACGTTGTTGATGTCGATGCTATGGACAACAACCACGAGATATTCCCCGGCATGCCTTCCGTAGTGATCCCCCTAAGAGGCCGTAGTCGGATTCATTGAGCCCCCTCGGGACCGCCAAGCATTGGATCGATAGGTCCCCGCTGACTGACGCGCTGCTCGGGGCCGAGCGCAAGAGGGAGCTGAACCAGCTCGGGCCCATCGAGAAGTCCAAGGAGGCCCCGCCGCTGCAGCGTGACAACGCTTCGCGGCACATGAACTTGACCAGGACGTGCTCCGAGCTCTGGCCATCCAATCTTGAGCGCATGAAGCGCGAGCGCAAGCGGGAGGTCCTGGAACTTGTGTCGCCAGCCATCGACGCGTGGCCGTCCTTCACCCAGATGTACCTCATCAACTTCGATACCAAGCCCCTCTGGGAGAACGTGCTGAAGATGGAGGGCCACCAGTCGGCCTTGATGAAGCTGTGCGACATGCTCAAGGTTCTGGCTTTTTAATCGGAGCCAGCCCACCCCTCAGCGCCGCCCTTTGCATTCGTCCTTGCCTCCATCGCCCTCCATTCCGCCTTCCCTCGCTCGTGGCCCCGTCCCCGAGCCACCGTCCCGAACCACAGTATTTGTCATTTGTCCTTCGCCGACCCTCGGCCCAGCTGTCACCTCCGCTCCCCCATCGCATGTCGCGCGTTTCCCTGTCCATCGTACGTCGCCCTATCTCAGCGCGCTCACCCTTTCCTCCACCCCCGTCCGATGACCCGTCCGCGTCGCACTCCGCCATCCTACAGCCCCTCTGCTTCGTCGCCCCCCTTGCCCCCCCCCCGGCCCCCCTGCCTCCCGCGTCGCCCCATCCCCCTCCGTTGCCCTCTAACATATCCCCCCGCTCGTCGTCAGCGGCCCTTTCGCCGTCGACCGTCGTGTCCGCCCTGGCCCGCTGCCGCTGCCGCGCCACCCATCCTCCCCTTAGGTGTGGACCACCGGGGGGGACTCCCGCTGCATGGACATCCACGCGCTGACGATTCGGACCTCTACCATGACTGACGCGGAGAGGGCGGGCTACTTCCTGACAGGGGTGTTTCTGAACAACGTCGCGCAGTGGCTCCGTCGCGGGGGGTCCGCGTCGGAGGCCGTCTTCTTCGTTGCCGAGAACGCGCCGCCGCTTCTGCGGTTGCCAGAGGAGGTCGAGGATTGCGAGATCGGCCCCGCGTGCGCCAAGGCCCTCAGCGATTGCGAGCGCATCTTCGCCGTGCTGGCCCTGATGAACGACATCAGGATTCCCGAGACCACGCCCGCGCACGTGTTTGACGACATCGAGTTATTCGTGGTTTCCCAGGCGAATGGTGGCGGCAGTGACATCTGGACCGCGGTGGCCAGGGCGGCCGACGAGAGCACGCTGTGGCAGCACAAGGTGGCCAGCCTGCGCAAGACCGCGAAGGTGTGCAAGCACTTCCACCCCGATACCACGAAGGCCCCCCAGGCGCTGGAGGTGATCGGCGATCAGCCCACAGCGGAGGCGTCGGAGGGCCTGGCCGAAGCTGCAACGAAGCTGGAATGGTTCGAGAAGGAGATTGGAACGGAGCCAGTGGAGAAGCTCTCAGCGGCAATCTTGGCAAAGTTTATCTCTCACGTGAACGCCTTGCCGACTGGGGCGGGCGTTGAGGACATCCCGATGGCGACGACGGTCATCGATAAGTACGTGGAGCTCGGGCAGTGCATCTCCAGGGTCCTGCCTTTGGAGGACAAGGTCGCTGCGGCGAGGGAGGTCATCCTGTGTGCGAAGTCGTCGTTGGCGGTGCAGGCGTCGGCCAAGAAGGCGTCTGCCTCCATCGAGATGTTCAAGACTGGCGAGTGTTCGTCCGAGGACGTTCGGAGCAACCTCGTGCGCATGACGAAGGCATCGGGGGGCGGCGGCGATGACGCCAACAAGATTAGCGACGAGGCCGCGAGCATGATCGACACGATCATGAGGAAGCCGTTCGACACTGCTGGCTGATGTGTAGAACCTTGCGGCGTTTGCTAAGGAGGCGGCGGGGCACGTGAGTCAGCCGCGCTCCGACTGGGCAGCAGGCGCCGCGAAGCTGCTGGGGCGCATGTCCGACTTGCGCAACGCGGCGCCGGCGATGGGCAACCCCGAGGACGGTTTGGAGGCGATCATCCACCAGGCCGGCTTCGACAAGAAGCTGTCGACGCTGAGCCGCCCCATCAAGATGTTCGACACGGTGGCAGTGGTCAAGGCCGATGATGACTTTGCATTGGCAACCCTGCAAGGTGAGGCGAAGCTGTGGCGCAACAAGCACGACGAGACCCGCATCCCGATGATGACGAAGCACCTGGAGATACTGAACTCGAACATCGGCCTCCTCGGTAACACAGTCGTGGCCCTCTCCAAGTCGGCCGAGGCAGGGCAGTTCCTGACGGAGCTCGGGCATGCGCTCGACCTCGATAGCGTCATGAAGGCGTTCAACGCCACCATCTCCGCCTACCAGTTTGACGACATGGACAAGGCAATCACATCCCTCGTGAAGGCGACGGCGGTGGGCGCAACATTCGCGCACGAGCGTGCGTGCGCGCCGCCATCCCACAACGCCCTCTCCATAGTTTCCCTTCTCAGTCCTCCTAGTCCCTAGTCTTCCACATATCCCTTATGTGCCAGCTCTGCCGGTCTGCCTGCGCCCACCCCCAGATCGCATCCTCATCCTCGTCACCGTGCCCGTCCCCACCCTCGCCACTCTCATCATCCTCATCTGCATCGCCATCGTCGCCATCGTCGTCGTCATTATCCTCGTCGTCGCCGTCGGCATCGTCATTGCCACCATCGCTCCCCAACCGAATCCTGAAGCCTTGCACGTACCCACCCGCTCTCTTTCGGCTCCCGCCGCAAGGCGACCTCCGAGCTGGAGGGGGGGGGGCAAAGGAGTACATGAGCTACGATGCCCAGAAGGATGCCATCACCACTGCGCAGGGCATCGTAGACCTCGCCTACGTGGTGATGTTCCGCGGGAGAGTCGCCAGGGCGTGGCACGGAGTGTCGAACATTGACACGGCGAAGGTCCGCTCGAGCTTGGTGGACGCCCAGAAGAGCATGGGCAAGCACGGCGCCACCCCCAGCAAGGTGCTGGGTGCCGTGCTCACGGGCGTGTTCCGCAAGGGCCTCCGTTCGGAGGTGGTATCGTGAGCGCGCAGCTGCGCGTTCCGCCCGAGGCCGCGTTGGCCTGGGCACCGCCGAGTTCGGGAGTCGGCGGAAGGGGCCCCTGGGGCACAGTGGGTTTGCTTTGCGTGCGTTCGTTTGGTTGCAGCGTCGGACATTCATGTCTTGATTCGTGGAGGCCTTTCGGCCATTCCGCAAGTCGCCCCCAGCTCTGGGTCAGTGTCGTGCAGCCCCTTCGCGGCTGCACTCGCATCGACGTTCGCGTCGAGGGTGCCGATGCCCCCTCCTTGTCAGGTGCCGCGCTGCGCTTCCGCGCAGTATCTTTGGACGTATATCCATTGCGTGTCGCGGGCCGCCGCCAGCCCATCCAGATGCGAGTGCTACGAGCGCCGAGGGGGGTGACAGGGCGAGGCGCATCTAGTGAAACAGAGCAGCCAGCCAGGGTGAGCCGACACCGCTTCGGGAGCAATCGGTGGCGCAGGAGCGCCCTTCGGGTGAACCCCTGGGGCGCGCGCTGGGGGGTACTGGGTGAGCGGCGCATTGGGGGCGAGGACGAGTGCAATGCTGAGGCGGGCCGCGACCGCGAGGATGAGGCGGACGACGAGGGCGAGGAATATAATGCACGTGGATGCAGGATGAGGGTGACGTGGCAAGGGGGGATGATGTAGGTACTAATGCAACGGTCTATCTAGGACGAGGTGGATGGTGATGCATGCGCGAACCGCTTGTTGCAGGAGCCCCTCGTTGCCATGTCGGAGTCTTATCGGGCCCTCTTGGCGCCCCCCCCTCGGGCTCTCTGTGGACATTATCGCGACGCCCTTGGTGCCCCCTATTGTCCCCCCAGGTGTTCTCTGGAGTTTCTCCTGGGATCTCCTGGAGCCCTGTTTGGGTGATCTGCTTGCTTCCCCCCCTGGATCCCTGGAAGTCACCTGAGGGGTCCGCCCGCGGGCTATCAGTGCCGCCCTAGGGGCGACAGATAGCAAGAAGGGCGTGATCACAGGTTGCGGTCCGTAGTTGCCCCCCGCAGCTCCTGGTGTCATCAGTGCCGTTTCTCGGGGCCCGCCAGGGGCCTTCTCTTGCATTGGTGGGGTCGCCTCGGGCGCGGCCTGCCCCCCATTGGGGCTGTCATGGGCCGCCTTTGGGCTCTCTTGCGGCCCGCGGGCCCATCAGGCGCGACATGGCGGTGATGGTGGTAAGGCAACGCATGCAGAACCACTGCGTCTTCGCAAGATGCGTGGGTCTTGGGGGGGGGGGGGGGGTCCCGCGTGAATTTCGAGCGCACTCGATGCCGCCCCGTTTCCTTGTTGGGGCTGTTCGACGGCGCGTTGGCCGATGTAGTGGACCAACTTTGGTCATCTCCACCCTCCCTGAACGCCGTCTCGGGTCATCGGGGGGGGGCATATTGGACCCATGCTTGGCCATCTTGTAAGCGGCAAACCGCACGGCAGCCGCGTCCAAAAACATTTCGGCATGATAAGGGGAGGGGGCAGGGGGGCCCCCCGAAGTTGACGAGTGGCTTCTGGGGACAGAACACGGCAGACCAACCGCGTTCAACGTCCATGTGGGGTTAGTTAAATGGCTCGTGATACCATCAGCGCTGCGCGCGACGCCGCCAGCCAGTTCATACCCAGTTCGCAAGCGAACTGGCGTCGTCCTTGCACGGGCGGTTCCCAAAGAGGCTGTAGGGCGTTCTGGCACCCGTAGTCCGCCCCTGTCGCGCTAGTCGCGGGGGTCCGTCGGGGGCTTTCGGCGGGGCTCCCTGCGGTGCCACGATGCGTTGAGAGGGTGTGCCAAAATAGGCTGGCGGCGGCATGCGGCCATTCCCAGAGGGGCTTTCCGTGGAGCTCCGAACGGGGCCTCGGAACGTGTGCGGGGTGTGCCAGAGTGGGCGTGCGGCCGCATGCGGCCCCCCCCCTGCTGGGCCCGAGGCGTCTCGGGCCATCACGAGGCCACCTGTGGGCACTGGGAACCTATGGGGCGCGCGAAGCCAGGAGGGGTGGCCGCCGCGGCTCGAATGGCGCGCCGCTGCTTGAGATGATTGGAGCTGCGCGTCCGAACTAGGGCGGTCAGGACCTTAGCAAGTGCGCGACCTCGCTGGCGCGCGCCCCCTGCCCATCACAGCGCAACTGGCGCGCTTTTCGCTGTTGCGCAGATAGAACCTGTTCCCTTGGTTGCGAAACCAACTTTTAAATCTAACCATTGTTTCTCCATTGGAAATTCTCTGGGTTGCGAAAACAATTTTTAAAGATAATAAATTGTTTTTGCATTTGTCTTCCCAGAACACCACAAAGACATTTTGTGACATTTTGTAGCATGTCCTAGATCCGGGCCTCAGAAGGGCAACCAAAAATGCAAAAGTATGCGCTAACAGAACACCTTACGGTATTCAACGGGCCAAATGCACGTGATATGATCGCCAACTCTGTTGTAAACCATTTGAGATTTCAACGAACTGAAGGGGATGAGAACGGGACCGCGGGCATCATCGATGACATGCCTAGAGATGTGTTCGTTCGCATGCACATGTTTTGTCATCCGAATCTGAACTAAGCTCTGCGGCTGATCAACGTCGCATTTCACGTGGAACCACACTTGGACTCCAACGTGGCCACGATCGCGCCCCATCAGAACTATGTCACCACTTTTGATGTTTCTTCCATGTTCGGTGTGCGCTTCAATGGTCGAGACTGCGGCATGCGTGCCTGGCCGCAGCTGCTGCGAAGCACTCAACCAACGTTTGCTTGCAGCTGTGGCGCACTCGAACTCGCACTCCAGTGACAACCCGCGGATGTTCTGTATATCATGCATGTGCTGAGCCGTGAGCTGGATCATTACAGCCTTCTCGGGCCCCGTCTTGCACAGGCGGTCGTTCGCAAATATTTGGCATGTTTGTGTTTCCGCTCTTGGACAAAACATGATAAAGCACCATGCCCCTCAAAACTATCAGCCAAGCGGATAGCCATGTGATGCTTATACACCCAATACTTGGCACCATATGCGCGCTGGTGAAGTTCCAAATGTTTCAACACTGCTGGCTCGACCTCGTCGCGTGTGCATGGCAATCGCCTCGACGCGCAGAGAATAACATCCACGGCGTCACATAACGCCAGCATGCTTACTATCTGGTCTGCGACTGCATCGCATGGTGGTGCATTGACAACGACTTACCTGGTGTATAGAGCCAGCACGGGGATCGCAGATAGCTCTTGCGAGGCCTTCGCCTGGAAGTCTCCCGTTTCCCAGGCTTTCGCAGCAGAGTGGTGTTTGGATTGCCATGTCCACTTCGCGAAGTAGTCGCGGAGGTCGTCGGCGCTGCACAGCTTCTGGAAATCTTTGTGCTCTAGGAGAGCCCGGGCTTCCCGATCAAAAATGCCATTCACGAAGTATACGTGCATCCAATCGAAGCAGAGCAATGTCACCACCAAGTATCTAAGAAACGGGTCCAGTGCGACGTGCGTTGGATGGAAATTCCAACCTTTTCACCTGCGTGACAGATGTGCATTGCGCGTCTGTGAGCTCGTCTCGCTGGTACCTCTCCCAATCAGGGCGCAACCTCTCCAAGATCGCGACGGCTGCCGCGTCGGTGTTGTATGCGAGTTTGCTTTTGTCAGGGCTGGCATCGTCAGCGTATGTCCCCGAACTGCCGAATTATGTGTTGCCGAATTTCTTGTTAGTGACGTTCCCGCAAATTGCGCAGGTCTGAGATCCAGCGTGCCCCGTGTTCATATGAAGTTCCCTCAATGCCTCCTCGTCTCTTATAACACGCGCCAATCTCGCAACTATCGCTGCGTATGTTGTTGCGTCGCCCAACGCAGGTACATCCAGCGCAACCCCCGTTGTCTCAAAGTTAAAACGCCGCCCGACTTTTTAAAAACATGAAAAAAGCTCACTGGGCATCATGCGGATAGACTGCCCGTTGCCCCCAGGCATATGTTTCACCTTGGCAGCGCGCGCGGTGCTGAGTGAACCATCGTTCTTCATTTTGCAAGTGTTCGTCGAATTCGGCAAACGACCAGTACACAGCACCCATACCACGGTAGTCTTTGCTTTTCGCCAGAGGATCGCGCGGCGATATACCATCGAAATAAAAAAAATACCTCCCAAGGTTCAGCTGAAGAACATGGGTGCTTTTGCAATTGGTGGCGCGCCAATGACCTGAACGGCTTGCTTTTCTTGCACATGGCGCGCGCGAGCGCCCCCGGATTACGCGCCCACATTTCAAATCTGCCCCCATCGTTGCCGTCGCCGACAGGCATCTACATGCCATTCAATATAAGGCCATATGTGTTACGACCATTGACCACATGTTTCTCATATGCCCGATATTGGGACCCCCGCGAGACAGCGCCTGGCAACCCATTGTCACGAACGTAAGCGAGCACGTGAGACAATGCTGCCTGGGAAAATACGGGCCGCGGTGGACCTCAACTAACGCCTCGGGGTGTGTTCGGGGCGGCTTCGGCCGCGGACCCGACGCCATGCCAGCCAAAAGTGCTTGCGGATTGGTGCGAGATGCGATGACCGCAACGCAATCGAGACGGATGAGACAGGATGCGACGGTCGCACCGTATTTGTTTTACACCACCGATGCACAAGCGAATACATCGCTGCAACAACAAACGATGAGATGTGCTGGCCTGCGACCGATCGTCGATGAACGCCCAGGCAACGGACCGCGCCCCAGCGCGCGAGCGCACGCCAGGGCCCCACTACGGTGCGATATACCTGCTTGTCGTTCTGGGTCATGGCGTGGCCAGCCCTGTAGTGGAGGTTTCCCGCCGTCGCAGGCGGCGGCAGCACCTTCGGCTTCGCGACGTGGCTTGAGGGCCCATTCGCGACGACCTTGCCCGTGCTATTGCCCGTGCTTTTGTTACCCTTGCCGTTTCCCTTGAATGTGTTATGGATCGTGTGCTTGTGTTTGATGACATTGCCCTTGCCATTGCCCGTGCTCTTCGGCTGCTCTGCGTCATCTGACGCATCAGCTTCGGCGGCATCGGCGACCGCGTCGCCAGCCGCAGCGGGGCGCT